AACTTAGATAAAAATATGTAGAAAATAAGCAAAAGAAAGGCAAACAGCCATTCCTCTAGGGCATACCGGGCATTTCCCTGTCAGTTATCCAATAAACTTTCGTTTACTGTTTTTTCACAAACGCCTGAGGCCAGACTGTGTGCCAAACAAATCATGGTACAATAATCTTTATAGATAAAAAGTCCATAATTTGCTCTAGAGCACGATACCGCTAAATTGCCCAGGCCCGAGCAGGTGAATTTTCTTCAGGAATCCAAAACCGGAGCCTTCGGCTAGCCAAACCTGATCCACAAGGCAGCGGAGCGGTGTGTGAAAACCGCAATCCATTGGGGGCCGGTGTCTAATTCATTGGATCATGCACCCTTCGAACGGGTTCAAACGTCCAAGGTGCCCAATCGAGCCGGTAACCACTGCCACTGCCGGGATGGTGTGTATGTGGTTCGTACGCCTCCTCTTGGTTGGTTTGAAATCAGGGCTTTTGGCCAACTCTCCTAGGTGAACTACCAGTGGTCCAACAACCCAGTTATAGCCCCGGATATCGGCTTTTCGTCCTCTCACTTTGATAGGAAAACACCTCCACCACGAGAAGGCAATGAGAAGGGCTTCCTCAGCAGAGGCTATTTGAGACGATTGATCGTATGGGAGCATTTCACTGGGTGCAAGGGCAGGGTGAACAGGCGCAACCCTAGACACCCACCCACTTCCGACCACACTGAGGCTTTCAGAGGCTTGGTCTACAGTCCTGCGTTTGCGATGCAGTCTCACTCCGTGTCCTGAAGGAAAGCATTGCCAAAAGGTGTTTAGTAATCACGTCTGCATCTGCGCCGACCAACTACCGAACTCATACAATTGAGCCGACGCTCCGATAGTGATCGCCAAACGAAGCATCAGACTCCATTGACCCATCAAAACTTATCCGATCCAGCTGTTCTTGTCCACTATGATGTAGCTTGAGTTAAGGGATTTGCAGTGTGTCGTAATAGGTGAACAACGAGAGCAGACCAGACGTTCAATCCCTTTCGCTGTTATTTGTTGATGATGATGACGGTCACCTTCCAATATGTGTACCCATCGGACGCAGAGTAAATTTAGATTCCTCCAGAAGCATATCACAAAGCTCATACTTCGTTGATAAACGAGTGTAGTTGTATACTTCAGACGGTGCTATCAGTGATCCCTTGATCACTGGAGGGTCGCAATACAAAACGGAATAGTTTTTGATAAGTGGAACACAATCTAATCACTCCGGATTTGCCTCATTGCGAACACTCCGTAAATCATATTGCATTCATCCACGTATGCGGACAGTAGTACCGTTCGTCTTCTCAAAATAAAATACGTTCTATTGAATAATATGGGCTTCATTCGGATAGAAAGCGAATACAGCTATGCATTCCTTGAGATATTCTAAGCGTCTAATGGTGTCTTTTAGGTCATTCATCCCGGTTGAATATAGCTTGCACATGCATGTTTATAGATATAAATATGTATATATCGATCAATCTTACGCTTATTACCAATTAATTTGAGGTATATATCAACTAACCAAGTAAAAACAAGGTGTCGTTTATCCGCCCATTCGGTTGGCAACTAGATCAAATCACATTTCTTCTGAACAGAAGGGGTCAATGAGCATAGTACCCAGAACCCTCGAACAGTCTGTTTTGCAATTCACTCTCTTTTTAGTTTATTTTTCTGTTTCATTGTAAGAACTTGTGGAGTGCATAGGACAGAACAAACAGTGCTCAGAACGAAATTAACATGATTGCATAATTCCGTAACACTTGCCTGTTGTTTTTATCCCATCTTCCCGCTCCTCTAACAGACGGTTCGATTGTCTATCGTGGCCGAGTGGAACCACGTATCTTAGCTCTACTCTACATCCTGTCGGGGTGCTTTGCTGCAGTAAATCCCTCGAGATTTGTCCAAACCGAATTCGCACAGACCTATCTCACGCCGCTGCTCTCAATCCTGTCTGAACTCCTTTATCTTTCTTGTGGTGTTTTCGCTGCGAACGGCGATCAGTCTGGATGCCGTTCCAATCCCGTCGGAAAAAGCAACAACTTGGAAGAAACGGGTGCGTGTCCCGCACTGGCAGAGGCTGCATCCAGTCTTCTGGCTGTGATTATGTATCGTCTTGTGAACTACACAATCGATCTGAGCGATGTCGACCTCATGCAATCGGGCTCGCGACACGCAGTTCCGAACAATTTGTTTCTGACCACCTCATGGTGGACTCCCTTCATCAGTATCCGGTCCCTGTTCGAACAGAGCGTTCTATGTCCCCCCTACTCAGACGAATTCAGCCCTGCCAGTATCGAGGTCGAAGGGGACCGGGTAGCACGCTTCTGGATTGTTCCGTCCGATGAAGCACGCGCACTAGCGGATCAGTTGATTCATCAGTACCTAGTCCCAATTCTATCCCGTTTAGAACAGATTGGTGTAGAGCTGTCAAAAACCGCTACCGGTTTCAACTCAAAGCTCACTCTGCCTGATCAACGCAATCAGTTTAGCTCCTTATTGATATGGACCAATCATTTGCTCATGAGCGTCGCGGGTGTACTCGACCCGCGCGATCCGGACCCCGGGGATAAAGATCTCAAACCACCACCTTGGCATGGTCATAGCCATCTCGAGTTGGGTGGGAAGAAAAATTACTCCACAGTTGTGCCACAACCAGCACTGAAATTAGGCCTTTTCTCTCCCAAGGTAATCAATTCAAAAGGCGAAAAGGTGGGTTTGCGTGATCGTATTTTCGATGTCGGTCTGCATCTGCTCACAATTGCGGCTGATTTGTTCGTCCGGGCTGATGATAGTCTTTTAGGACCGGATTCAATCAACGTGAATGGTCTATCGGCGCCCATCGAGGATAACCCAGCTGACAATGGTGAGTGCATGTTTGATCACCTTGTCGTGCTTACTATGAGTCCTCTGTTTTTGTCTGTGTGTGTGTGCTTAGATGTGAATAAGCTTGTTGGAAACGCTGCGTCCATCGGTAGATTTTATAAATTAGCCCACCGTCTGTTGCTTGTGTTTTGTATTGCTGTTCTCACTACAGAACGGTAGGTTTTACAATCCACGGGCATTTGTTGCAGGTTGTTTCGTCAATTACATAAAACGCCATTTGCACTGCTTCAACCTTTTAGACTTCCCCAATGTGGCCGTTGCCTTAGGGCTTACACCTGTAATTGTAACACATTAGAGCCAGTTTTTTTCACCGGCTGTAGACTACAATCTCCGTTGATCATCTCATTCACAACTATCCTAGAAGACTGTGGTATCCATCATTTCTACTTCAATGATTTGAACCTTTTCTTACCCCCTACTTTTATCTCGCACTTTTCCCTTGATCATTCATTGTTGTTTTCCGGTCATATTCCCTCGTTTAGTCGAGCAGGATCTTATAATCGCACGCCACGCTTTTAGTCTTGTTTTCTTAATTATTGTGAATAACTTCATCGTGCAGTGTTTTGATCATCACATAAGTTCTGGTGGGAACTTCACCGAAAGATTCTCTTTTTTGCCTTCTTAGCACTATTTGCACACTGAATCAACCGGTTTTCGTTCTCATCATTCCACGCTCTATGGATTGTGATAAACTCAATCTTGCATAAACCAATGCCCACCGATTCCCCTATCCCTGTCCACCTCGTGAACGGAGTAATAAAACAGAAAACCAGCGAATTTGGTCAAAAGCCTGAATTTGGAGTTATTTTCTGTATGTTATGTGACTGGGTGATACTTGATTGGTTGTTCACCACTTGTATGTGGTTCATACACTGTTTTCTGGTTGGTTTGGAATCAGGATTTGTAGCCAAATGCCCTAAGTGCAATGCCGGTGTTTTAGCAACCCGGTTGTAGCCCCGGAGGTTGGCTTTTCATCATCACGTGAACTTAGTGCGTAGAGCTTGCTCAACAGAAGCTGTTTGAGAGATACGGTCCCTTAAGAGCATTTCGTGAGGTGCAAAAGAAGGGTGATCGCTAACACCCTACGCCATCCAATCTCGACCATCCTGAGGTTTCTGGAAGCAAAATTCCCATAAGCGTCAACCTAAGCCATTAAGCTTGGGTAGATGGACCACTTATGGCCCCACTCTGATGGTGTCGCAGCAACGACACTGTGTACCAGAAACCGCATTACCACCCCTTGATTTGCCGCCTCTACCTTCCTGAAATATGCATCATATATGATTATATACTCGATATTGGTTTGAACTCATCATTATTCAGACCTCAGATTACCAAAAAAGAGGATAAAGAAATATGTACCCAGAGATGATCTAGTGAATTCAAGGTGAAACTGTCGCTGACTGCCGTTCCATCAAAAGTCGGTTCACTCGGTTAGTCTTTAGATATCTTTTAATTGATTGACTAGAGCTGACTATCCTTCAGACTTCACCTTCACGCACATTCCTCAGCTCTTCCAGTCAAGAAGACGCTCGCAAGCACTAGACTCGGGTTTCGCTCTTATTAGAGCTCGTCAGTAGTGCATAT